GAAAACCAAAAATTACACCGGTATGTTGTTTCTGACGTCTAATAGACACAAAAAAAATATTTGCCCAACAAATTCCGAAAAATGACCAAAAAAAAACCACCCTAATTTATTACCCGAAAGATACTTACTGAACATGCAGTACTAATTCAATAACTACCAAATTCTAATTTCTGAGAGCAGTAAAGTTTTTTTTTGCCATTTAAGACTATTGACGCTTCAAAGATAAAAAAGATGGAAAGGTAAAGTCACCAAACATGTAAGTTTTTGTATGAACGCAATGCCTGTACGATATTTAACATGATTTCGCAATTAGGTTTATTTCACACCACAAACGTCTAAACGACACTAAAAAGTGATGAATGCATCGGGGAATAAGTCGTTCGGGGCAAGTTCATCGACACCTAGATCTTGATATTCGACGTCATTCACTATTGATAGTGATTTTTGTAAACGTAACTCACGCTCAATGATACCGTGTGTACGGGTGATACCGTGTGTACGATGAGAATCTGATGATACCGAATTCAATGTTAATGAATCAGATTTTTGCTTGTCAATTATCACCACATTATCGCTTGACTTACCATGCTGGTGGAAAATCATCTCCTGTGTATCATCAATTACGTTATTATCGGAATCGTCATTTTGATGTAAAATATCGTCGGAGTTCTTCAAAAAATTCTCACTAAATAGAGTTGGTAATTTTTTCATCGAAAATATTTGATCATTTTGTTGAAAGTCATCAAATGTCACATCCGTGCCATCATCGCTACATTTTGGTGAACCAACATTTAAACCATTATGAAGTAGAAAATCATGTTCACTGTTACATACAGGTACTTCCATATCAATTTTTGAGAGTTTAGACTTTACGTTAATCGTTGTCCTTGATGTTGTAATTGCTGTTACTTTGGGCTCATTTGTGGAATCTGATGATTTGATACTTCCAAGACCACTATCACTTATAATTGGTGCAGTTGCGGTTGGTATAGTACAATTTGTTGTTAGAAGCGTTGCATACTTATTGCCGTCAAGTATTAGGATACCACGATTCGACTGAAAAATTTGCGAGGGAAGTTGAATACTTTCAACGAAAGGTGGAATGCTCGATTGGTGCGTTTTAATTGGAGTGAATGTTGGCAATTTATTACTTGAATTCTCACTTGAGCTATCACGTATCGTGTGGATTTCATCATCCGATGTTTCATTTTGAATGTCGGTAAAATTTCTTCCTGATAATGTCCTCAACAGTAGCGTTGATCCGACTGGTGATTGTAATGATGTTGCTGGAATTGTTGCAAGACTCTCTCGTTTCTTCGTAATATTAAACTGAATGTGTTTTGGTTTGGAAATATCTCTTTTGATATCTGAATTGGAAACAATTTTTATGTTAGTGCTGTCGCGTTGAATATTTGTTGTCGATGGTATCATAACAGTTGTGACATTAGAATGGATCGTTTGATTTATTTTTGATTTTTCACCGATAGCCGTATGATTTTTACCATATTTCAAAAGGCTCCTTGGCAATATGTAGTTGTCGTTTCGATAGCTTTGTCCTGGAACGCATTGTTTTAACGTTTGTCGACATTTATTTGGACTGGTTATATTTATTTTATATGGAAATCCTGAAGTGAATCCATAAAAGCCATCATTGGAAGTATTTTTTGAGTTTGTAAATTTTTTTTTAGTATGTTGAAGATTTTGTTCGGCTGAAACTACCATAGACACGTTAGGAAGTAAAATGGTAGCTGGAGATTGTGTTTGTGGCATCTCTGATGAATCATTGCCGCCGGAATTATTTGCAATACCAATTGTGAGTGGTTTTAGTTTGTTTGAATCGTTGTATAAATTTGTGTTGATATTTTTAAGCATTGGATTATTTCCATCTTGCTTCACTGTGGCCCGAATCAAATTTGTATTGTATTGCTGTTGAGAATTCGTTGTTGTGATGATAATCTGATTACTTGTCTTTAACATGTCGTTCGAATTGGATTTTGGGGGTGAAGTATACGATGACAGTGATGGAACAGTTGCCAATATAAAATCATTCGCTTCCAACTTAATATTGGATAGGCATCGTTTCTTTTCAGCCGGTTGCTGAATTGTAATTGAATCAATGGTGCTAATACAATCAGTACCACACTGATCATCATTTTGTAGACTTAAGAAACGTTTTCGGGATTCATTCATTTTGGCACTTTGATAAGATTCATTGGAACTATTTGAATTCGAACAAGAATTTATGATTGAACTGACTGTTGTTGTTGATGATGATGATGACGACGATGATAAAACGGACGATTTTGATGAAACCATACGAATTCGTCGTCTAGGTGCTGGTTTGTTATTTAGATCGGGCGAAGTACTTATTTGCTCAGCATATTGAGCCAAAATATCATAGATTCTTTGAACGGTATGCTCATCTTCTTGTGGCTTTTGTGGATGTTTGGCAGCAGCATTTTGGTTTAATGATTGTGACACTGTCTTTAGATTTGCTGAGTTAATTTTAACAGAAGCAACATTTTCTAATGTCGATTGTATTACTGATGAATCTACATTTGATTTTGTACTGATATCTTTTTGTGGCTCAATACTTTTCATCGTGGCAACGTTTGCATTGCTGACAACAACAACTGATGTGCTTGTACTTTGTTTTGCCTCAAGCAAATCCACAGTTTTCTGTGTGGTAATTGCTTTGCTTTTTTTTATTATAGCTAAATTTATCTTCTGTTGTAATCCAGCCGATTTTATTTGACTGTCAACTATATGATGGTTCAATATACCATTTAAATTACTCAATACCAAATTGTCGGTTGCTTCATTTGTATTGCGTTCCTCTTTTATTTGCTCCATTACCATATCAAATTCGCGAAGTTGATCGACTAAATTCCGTTTGTCCGGTTCAATACTTTGAATTCGGCTATCAGTTGTGTTTGTACTGGTAATAATTACTTGAGGACGAACATAGTTAGTCCGAGCCAAATTTCGACTATTTGCAATCAATGGAAAGATATGAATTTGATTCAATGCCGTATTTGTAGTTGTGGCTGCATTTGTGTTGCTAATATCATTAGTTGGCTTTTGCAAAATCTTCAAATTATTCTCATTAGTTACTAAAATATCACAAACATCAGTTTTTGACTGTGGATATAAAGTTTTCGGAACATGTTTCAAGAAAACTGTCGAAGTTGATTGGCTTGGATTTGTCATTGTATTCGATTTACCATTGCTTAATGTAGTTGATATTGAACTATTAGTGTTAATTTCTTCAGAATTTTCCAAATTTTGACGCTGCAAAAATGTTTTTGTATGTTGTTTCGATGAAATAATTTCGTGTGAAGTTGGAATTGTATAGAAATTTGATTTAAATTTGGAATTATATATTTGTGTTGATGCTGTTGTAGTATTTTGCCTTTCCATTTCTAAGTTATTTTTGATACTATCTATGTGAGCCTCTTTTGTATTTAAAAATTTAGTATAAATGTCATCAAAAATGGAATGAGTTGTAAAAGATGAAGTCTTGGCAACCGATGTATTTGTGGCTGAGATCGCTAAGGTTAATGGTGGTGGAGATTTTGAAGATACTGGGTCCTTTTTGTCAATAATTATCGGGCAAATAGGTTTCTGTTGGATATCTTCAACTACTCTCACTCCATTTGTAATTGATGGTAAAACAGTAGCCGTGGCAATATTGTTAAAACAATTCGAACCCATCAATGGTGTTAATCGAATAACTTTACCTTCAGTTTTGCAAAGAAAAAAATTATTATTCAATTTCTTGCTACCATTTTGATCATTTAGTAAATTTCGTAGCTTCGTTTGGTCCATATTTATGATGTTTTCATTTTTTGTGACCGGAATCTGAGCATCACTAGCCCCAGTTGTTTGAGATTTTATTGGTTTCTGGTAATCAAAGACTTGTGTACTGGATATTGTCTGTTTCAAGTTTGCAGGTAGTGTACTGGCATTAATTGGTTTCGGTGGTGAATTCAGGATACGTAACAAATTATTTGTTTTAGCTGGAATTTCATAGGCTTCGGTTTTGTTAGAATTTGAGCCGTTTTTCATTTGATCCAATTTATTCATAATTATAACACTGCGACCAGATGCGGCATGTGATGATCGTTTGATATTTGACTTTGACATTGTTGATACACTCATTGGGCGGAAGATTGAGACTGGTATTTCATTTGAATGCCCTTTCAATTTTGATCTTTTTACCATGATAACATTTGAGTTTTTATTGGGCGATGTATTTACATTCGGAGCAAAAACAGCTTGAATTGGTATATTAGTTGATTGTGAAGAAGTTTTTTCTGATTTATCATCCTCAATTATTTTGCAAATGTTGGATTTTGATGTTGTTGCGGTATGTACGTCAGTATTTTCAGTAGCAACTGTTTGTGCTGTGGTCACTGGCATCCCATTTGAAGTCATGAGAGACCCATTGTTGGTTACATTTTCAGTTTGTTGTACTGGTTCAGCAACAGATGATTTTTCATTAGACAAAACTATTTGCACCATTTGAACAATAACTACTGAATCATATATGTTTTTCAAATATGCTTGTGGAAAAAAGTTTTTTTTAGTACCCGATTTCATTGAAATTGCGTCAAACATTGTAGAATTAAGAAGATTAAATTTTTCCTTGGAATGAAAATAAGTTTTCTTTTCACGAAAAAAATTCATGGAGGTAATTTTTTCAAATCGATTTGTCCTTTGATTGATGTGCTTAAAATAAATGCATTTGCTATCATTTGTCTGTATTTTTCGTGGATATTTGTAAAAATGCTTTGTTTTCAATGCTAACAACATAGCCATGTCAGCGATAATGGTAATGGTAATGAATGTGTGTGTGATTGCGAGTATAGTTGTTACCATCAACCGCCAGCGATAAGTAAAATAAACCAAAATTGAACCTAAAATTATTTCATTTGCCTTAAAAAAAACGTCATTAGTCGGAATACTGATACAACTCATTTGACATACATCGCTTAATAACTGATAAAATTTATGCCATTTTTTACGAAAAATAATAATAACAAATAATTTCAACTGAATAGCTAAGAGAAATATGTTACATTTTGAAATAGTACCTTTAACATTTTTGTTTTTCATATTATGATAAAACTTGATATGTTGTTCTGCTAATAATAATGGTGATGTCATTATCGAAGTTTCCGTTATAAATTTGATGAGATTTGTACATTGAATCGAATTGCTATTGGTATAGTATGCATAGACATACGTTGGATGAGGTGTACAATTTCGCTTTGCTTCAATTAATAATAGTCCAGATATATATTTCTATAAAAGTAAACAAAAATTAAGTCAGCTAGACAACGTTTTTATATATATTATATATTTAAACGTTGAGAAATGTAACGCTTCAGCCCATTTTGGTGTTCATTTCCGTATCAAATGAACGTAATTTATATGCATAATTTTATAATTACACATTTAAATGGAATGTTTTCATGTATTTTAATTATTCATATACATTTAAATTGAAATTGAAATTTAACGGTTGAAAGAAATTGAAGTTGTGGTAAATTACAATGTCGTCTTTAATATCATTTTGTTGGATTAATTTGCAAATATCGTTATCACTGGGATGTGAAACAAAACGCTCAAAGTATAAATTCGAGCTGGCATATCAACCAATTAAATTCAAGAAACAAAGTGATTGCAACCTCTAAGATGCGTGCAATTTCTTATAGCAGCATACTCATCTGGTAACGCATATTTGCGTGATGCAAGAAATGGATGCTTTTTCTGTAAATTTCCGAGATGGACCGAATAAACGTCGTTAAGTGTCAAAGAGGCATATTTGGCATCATGATATTCCAAGCGAAAGCTGTTCCTTGTATTTATTGAAACCAATCAAAACAAAAGAAATGAAATGTTTCACACAATATTTTATAGACCAAGAGCCACTCTAACAAGTAACTTTTTTTTTTGCTTTATG